TCGGCAGTGGTATCAAAGAAGCCGTCCGTCCAGAAAGCAATGACAAACCACTGGACCTAAATTTGCCTAGAAAAACCACACAACAGCCAGAGGCTGTTGGGGGTTGGTTCTGCAACGTCCTGTAAAGGATACGCAACTCACCTAGCACTATGTGCTCGACGAGTCATTGTTATGATGAGTCTTATTAACTTTTTTTTTTAACCTAATAAATTGAATTTAAAGCATGTGAGACAGAATGGCTTAAAGTAACACATGTAAGTGAAGGGGTCGTTTATAGGTTGCATTGGTTTTATTCAACAAACTGTTTAACACGAGTCTATGGAAAGTTACAGAGTTATTAATAGAGCCGGGGTGAGTTGCTCAGTGTTGAATTCTTCTTATTCTTGTGTTGTTGTTACTATTACTATTAACACCTTCGCCTTTAAAAGGGGAGTTGGGACGTTTTGCTGGGGGTTACTGCTAGGCTGCGAATCTGCTTCTTTCTTCCCACACGTCCGATTTTTAGCAAACCCTTTTTACCACATACTTATTGAAGATAAGTTGATCTATTCTCCCCCCCCCCTCTTACGCGGCACCGGAACGTGGGAGGGACAACCGAATGAATTGAATTCGAAGGAGCTCTAGGAATGCTCAGAGGTCACCTCAGGAAGGCACAATCAACAATTTGTGGCCGGGGAAAACCAGAATATGGTCAGGTATATAACAGCAGTATGAAAGCATATTAGCAGACGGGCGTTGTTGGTGATGTATCGATTTTCACTTGCTCTTATCACTAGTGACTTGGCGACGTTTGATTGGTGACACTGTGAGATGTGCTGGCAGCCGGCAACGACTGTATGCAGGCCAATGTTGACCAGCTAGTGAGTGAGTGCGCTAAATACTGCCTCTGAGATGACGACCTGGCAGCGCTATCTACCGACTCTCTGCATCTGGCCTGGGAACTAGGGGGCGTTCTCTGTCTACTGTCTGCTGCTTATCGGGGATTAGATGCCAACGGAATAATCTCGCACACTCTTTTGTGTGAACTCCTAATTTGTTATAAACTTTCGGCTTGAGTGGTTGGTTCTGTGGGGGACCACGGAAGATGTTAGCGAAATTATCATCTGAACTCTTTACATGTGTATCGGTAAACTTGGAAGCGAGTGGCCAGGAGTTGTGGATACATGTCTTACGTTGTTCTTAGGGTTCTTCTTCGCGTTCAGTAGCTGTAAGACTACGGCGGATAAGTTCTGGTTGTTCTAGCCCTGATGCAGAAACTGAGTGTTGTGTGTGCATCCGTTTGACAGGTCTGACTCATTTGCTTGCAGACTGTTGGTTCCTTGCCTCTTAGGCAGATGTACCCTGACCTCGAATTAAGCTCCCTATTAGTCGACTCTTACTAATGCTCTTGGGCAGGCAGTGAGTCTTTTCTTTGATTTCCCTACAGTGGTTCTAATCTCCAGTATCGGGTTGTCTGTGGCGCAAGGGTTTAGCTTGTCTTGTGTTCTGAACTTGATTTCAGACTCCATAGCCTGGTTCCTGGCTACCGCTGATAGGACTATAATTATTAGACGCTGTCGACGAACGACCACTAGTCATCGAGAGACCTAATAATATGGCATTTCGTAGTCCACACCGAGTCACGCAAACCCACAGGCTTCTGTCTCTTGTTGTATTAAACACTTCTGGTACAAACGTTCTTCCATTTCATGATATCAAATTGTCCATCTTCTTCTTAGTTTTCCCCTGCCTCTCTTTTCCGCCAACTATCAGTTGTCGCGACGCACCCCGTTTAGCCTCCTTATGACGTACCTATAGATTGTGGACTGTGCTTCTGGTGTAGGTAACCGAACCCATGATTTATCTCGGTTTAGCAGGATTGACACTGTACAGCTTTTAAGAATGTTCTTTCTCGTCTTAATTAGCACAGATATATTGTATAGACTATTTCTCATCCTGTAAAATGCTGCTGCTGTTTGAACATTTCTACACTTATTTTTTTTACGCGCATTTTCCATCTTCTATTATAAGGTTAGCTGATTTGATTTTATTCAAGAACCGACATCACAGCACTCAGGGCATTCCCATAACCTCTCCGTCCCCATCTTCAGCAGCCAGCGAAGAGTTCCGATACTAATGGTGCCAGTAGCATTCTGATTAAACGTCCGCCTTGCCTTTCCTCTGAGCCTCGAACATCTGCCAGAACCTCGCGTCACTCTTCGCTGCACCAATCCCACCAGACTGGTGGTCCATCTGCTCCTCCGTACTGCACACGCGCTCCCACAAGGCACTAACCACGTCTGCCTTATATCAGATTAGCTGAACACTTGAACTTATCGACTTGATTAGGTCTGGTCTTGTCTGCTTCGATGTTGCATCTTGTTGCCGCTACGGTTGCTTTAGTTTAGTTCACCAGGTTCAGGACCCTTAGAGGAAACACTAGTTATCCTGCACCATTCCAAGCATATCGTAAGTGGCGACTATGGCTCGGGTAGAATCTGGGGTTGACTACCCCATCCTGTTTTTAAAAAACCTAGCTTATCACAAAAGCCAAGTGCCTATAAACAAAGCCATATTCAAAAATAGGCTTTTCGCTTTGTTTTAGCATATACTCCATTGGGAAATCAAGTACAATAATAGTAGTGGAACCACCTTTGTGTAGCAGCTAGACGCTTGCCTGTGGATCGAAAGGTCGTGTTTTCGAGTCCTAACGAAGCCAGACTGTTTTCAAAAACGACCTTGTCTCCAAGGTCACCACAGCTTTGAGTGGGTTTAAAGTACAGTCCTGGGAAGAAGACGACACGCTGACTGCATCACCCACCAAGTGCCGAGTGCTCTATGTAATATTGGTATTGCCTTATATGCCTAATACACCTGAAAGCGTGGAAAATGGTACCTACTTACTTAAAAAGAACGATAGTAGTAGTAGTGGTAAACACAAACAGAGAGAACACAGACGTTTTGAAAGAGGTAAGGACTCGAATACTACTTATCAAAGACATCAGAAACTAGCAGTCAGCGTTGTTTGATCACATGAGAAGGAAACTAGAACGTATGGTGACCACTGGAAAAATCAGTGAGAAAAGAGACAGAGAAAGACAACGCGAAAAGATTCTTGACAGCCTTTTCTCGTGGCATTGAGGGGCATCAATCCACGAACTGATGCATGCTGTTGAAAATTTGAGATTATGGAGAGACATGATCGCCCAAACCCTTCGGCAGTTTACGATGAAGTGATGGTAGTGGTGGCGGTGGTCACACTGGTACACGTTGCCAGCAAAAAGAAAACTATGCAGTAGACTGAGCTTTCACATATACAGTATATTGTCGGCAAAGGCGGCTTGCTGAATAAATATGTCAGTGGTTAGAAATATTGAGGTATCTGAGAAAGGTTGTCCAAGTAACCAGAAGTGACAAAGTTCGCAGTCAAACAAAAAGTCTTGACCTTGATATCCAAGCCGTACGTACTCTAGTGGATCAGTCCCCGTTAGGATGGTTTGCACCCGTATGCAGAATAGGAGAGAATCATCCACTACGGCAGGCCACGAACCGGGGAACCAGACCACCAGGACGACCCAGGGTTCGCTGGAGAGACAACATCCGACAGTCCTTGACTGACAGAGGACATGAATAGAACAAAGATAGAAAGGAAACTGCTGATAGAGAAGTATGGCGATCCCTCTGGCAAACCTTTACACCCCGAAGTAGAAGAGAAGCGACCAAGTAAGCAAGTAAGAAATATTCTTCGGGTACTGATTTAACTAGATGGTATCTCCAGTTGAATGACGTCTCCGCAGTGGATGCCGGCCACTGGTGAATATTTGCATATGCTGCTGCCCTCGGTGACCCACAGTCTCTTCCAGAGGACGTCTGTCGTATTACTGTCCCAAGGCCACAAACACGGCTTTGCTACTGCTGACGTTATTGCTGACACTAAACGCAAGTGGCAGATTATCGATTAGTGCGGAGGTTGAGTTTTCATAGTTGTTTTTCCGTGGGAATTATTGTCTAGTATTCGAGTGTCATCGGGGCCAGGGGTACTGTAGTGTCAGGCCAGCTTGCCTCCCGGCCAGGCGATCGAGGGTTTGAATTCCATTTGAAACGATGTTTTTTATCGAATGTAACTGGGCTCTTAGTCAAAGCAAAAAATTTGCCCTAGGAAATATTCTGGAAAATAAAAGGATTAAGTGATACTGACCGCATTATACCATTCGAGTGCCTATGGCATATACAAATTTGAGGCTTTCACCACAAACGCAATGCCCTGTGGCGTGGAAACAAAATAATTGTGCTATCTCCACAATGGAAGATGGCTGTCTGCAGTAGATATGTGTGCATCTGTTGCCGTCTTTGGTAAAGTTTCAGTCTCTTCCACGGTACAACTCTCATACAACTGTAAAAGCCATTAGGATATCCTTTTCCCCCCTAAAGGAGGGCCATTAAAATAAGATTATTCAGGGGCCAACATGTTGGAACATGGGGATCGTCATGGGCCAGAAGGCTGAGCTCCAGCATAGAAAGATAATTAACACAAAACATTTGGCATGTGATCTACCCCTGCTTGTTTTACATAAGAAATACTCATTTCACATAAGGTTAACATTTAAGATTTTCATTGTGTAGAACTGGGACACAGGGTAAAAACCTTGTTCCTCCTCCTTTCCCCAAATGCCTAAACCACAAAAGTAGTAAATATAGGATCAGTGACAGTTTTTTCGGGGGGGGGGGGGGGGGGGACTAATTTTATGTCAGTATTACTGTTTGTGAACACAGGCACATGTTATGCTGTTTCTCTGTTTACATATCTTCTGGTTTTGTTTTCAGCCTGCGATCTTCGCTGGATGCAGTAACTATATATGGACATGCTGATGATGTTACAAGTTCAATGGTTTTCCTGGTGTTCTTGTCACTTCTACTCCACTGACGTTTAAAACCGAACCCTAGTTGCTGCAGTAGCAGCTACCTTGTAATGTGCACATCAGGTGTGTTTGGTGGTGACTGTGCAGTTTAGCATCATCAGTATGTGGAGGTCAGGCAGGAATGTGATATCTCCAAGATATCTGTGGATATCTCCAGGATGTACATGGATAGCTCTGGGATGTCCATGGATGATCAAACATCCGTTAACAGCGACCCTTATCGTGCTGTTAACTTGCCTGACACAATCATTGGCATCCTCATGTGGGGATGCTGGTTTACCGTTGGACAACCCAAAAGATGGGGGTGAGTATTTTTTATTTTTCCTTCTCTATTTCTGTTTGTGTGTGACAGCGTTTCACAAACTTTTTCCCTGCCGCAGTACTCTTGTCGGGCAGACACAATTTTGCAGCGCACCTACCCTAGGAATGGTTTGAATTCTTAGGACAAGAAAAAAGAACAGTGCAAATTTAATTGTTCAGTTGTCTTTATTGCGATGAATGACACTTTGGATATATTTTTAATTATCTCCTTTATGTTAATGACAAATTTAGTTAATTGTACCCTCAAATCACTTGTTGGCTGCTCCTGTGTCTGTTAAAAAAAAAAAATTTAAGGTATGCTTATGCTTAAAAATGCACTGCAGCTCTGTCGGTAGCATTGTTTTCTGAATACACCTGCGCCCAGAACTCTTCTTGGCCTCCTTCGTGGTATTTCTGTTATAAAAGCCGTCCTCGCTGATCTCAATAGATGTTGAACATTCCTTAATTATTGCCGTGACACCCGTAGCATATTATGCTCGCGGCCCCCAGTTTGAGAATTGCTGGTGTATGATAACATTTTTAGTATAACATCTTGTATTAGAGTAATTTTGAGTTTTACTTGTCTTTATTGCTTTAGTTGGAAATTGTTTTGTTCAAACCTGTTTAAAGCACAAATCATTGTTTTATCTTTATTCTTGTATGTTGTTTACCTATAAAAACATTCTTATTGTACAATCTACATGAAATACCATTTAGTTTCATCTGTCTACTTTTATGTTGATGTTTGACCAAGTTATATCTTTCTACCTTTATGTTGTTTGACCAGCTGTACAGTTTTATGTAAAATATCAATTACAGTTTTATCTTTGTAACTTTATGTTGATGTTTGAGCACTGTACAGTCTTGTATAAAATACTAATGAAAGCTTTACTCTGGTCTACCTTTATGTTGATGTTTGAGTAGTGTGACATTGTTACAAATATTTTATAAAGTATACAATGTCATCTTTCTTCCTTTGCGGTTATCTTTAAGATTTTTTTAAAAATCTATCTTTATTTGGGCCATGGGCCTTGCGTTGGTTTCGACAGTGGTATCAAGAGAGCCGACCGTCCAGTAAGCAATGGCAAACTACTGGACGTAAATTTGCCTAGAAAAACCACACAACAGCCAGGGGTTGGTTCTGCAATGTCCTGTAAAGGATATGCAACTAACTTTTCTTATTGTTGACATTTGAGAAGAAAGACATTGTTAAGAATTTTAATACGTATATCTTGTTTAGCCATCTGTGTTATTGTTCTGTCTTGTGTCTCTTTATTTCTCTTAATACATTTTGTCTTCATGTATCTTTATATTTCATAACTTGTCAGTATATTCTTTTTTTTGTTTTACTTTTGTGTGTGTTGTATTGGCAAGTTTTCACTGACTTAACTCTTTCATTCTCAGTCGCAGTCAGGTATCACTTTAATGAACCTCAAGATCCCTAAGTATGTGTCAGCTCTAGTATTAAATGTTGAAATCCAGAGGGGTTAACAGAGCACTACGAGAAACAGGATTTAGAGAAGCCTTTAGGAAAGCATGGGTTTTTATACTAGTTACATGCCAGATAAAGTATTAAGAAAAACACATCAGAAGAAAAACATCTAGGGTGACCACTAAAGGCATAGTGAGTTCATTAGTACTGAATGAGTAGGGATGCAACGATTTGCCCCCATTGAATGGTTTAATAGAGACCCCCCCCTCCCCCACTAGTAACACCCCCTTTTAAACACCACCGACGACACGCTTTTTTGATGATCCTATATCGCAGCCTAGCTGTAAACACAGCCACACCCCCCCCCCCTCCTTCCAAAAAAGTACAGCTGACAACCTCACCTCACTTTGACGAGCTAATTTTGTGGGCAAAAATGTTGTGTTTTTCCTTTGTCAAAGCATTCGGCAGGCAAATAGATTTTAACCAAATACCTTAAACCCCCTTACTCCTAGGACACAGGTAGTCAACCGTTTTGTTCAGTATATAATTTGTCTAGTCCGACACCGTATGCTGCTATACAAACAGTAATAAGCCTGACTTAGAAAACGTTGCAAATGACGCTATATCTCAGCCTAGCTATAATCACAGCTGACACATCCGCTTCACTTTGAAGTGCTAAAAATCTCCGCCCTTCCCACAAGCATTCAGCGGGTACATCGAGTTCCACCCTATATAAACCCATTCAGTGGGCAAAGTTTGTCCACCACAGGCAAGAAAAACCAATAATTCGATAATTTGCCTTTTACTATAGAATAAAGAGGTATCGAAGGGGTAAATACGCGCTCTTTCCTGCTTCCCTACTACTTATATTTATGTGACTATGGTAATGTTAATGTATAACAATTAACTACAATTGCCGAAATGTCACACGCAGGAAGGCTTGCTACTCAAGCACCAACTAGTCTGACATGTGGTACCAGTCTTTCACACAGGTGCCTATCACATTACATTACATGTTTATAAACAAGCCTAATTTATAGTTAAACATATGTAAGGTTTCCGAGTATGTTGTAACAGAGGAGATAAAAACCAGGAGACCAAGCGAGAAGCGGGGCCGTTTGGCATCATAGCATAGAACAGTCTGTGTCAGAAATGATTGACAGTACACTTGGCAAAAGGCTAGGACAGTCATGACTACCAACTCTGTATAGCATGCGTTGTAAGAAGAAGGTTACATTCAGTCAGTCAGGTGCTGCCGTTTTGATTGGCTACTTCTAGTTATTTATGCCGTTTTGATTGGCTAGTTCTGACTGTTTATCTGTTCATGTTATTCTGCACTTATTCATCAACTTCCCGTCCTTGTTAGGATGAAATTTTTCTTTATTTGAAGCCCTACTCTGGCTCTTGCCAGGGGCTGCAATATAGCCTGGCCATAAATATGGCCTAATGCCTGAACGCAGTTTCTGAGACCTCTCCGTGGTGATCCTCATCCATATGGTGGCACATTGTATAATCGGGTGTTTATCGCTTGTGTTATGTCCTGGTGGGGCAGAAAGTTAGTCACTTACTCATATCTTCTCATCCCTTTGTGGGATGCATTGTTTCGTTATTTGAAGCCCTACTCTGGCTTCTGCCAGGGGCCGCAATATAGCCCGATCATAAATATGGTCTAATGGCTAAACGCGGTTTCTGGGACTTCTCCACGGGTGATCCTCGTCCACATGGTGGCACTTTACGTCATCGAGTGTTTATCACTTGTGTGATGTCCTAGTGGGGTAAAAGAATATATATAGATAGATGCACTTATTCCACACTTATGGTAAAAGAAGATATACAGATAGATAGATGCACTTATTCTACACTTATGGCCTTTACCTCTTACTCTGTTTCATCTGCCTTCAACTTTTGTTTTTAATTTTAGTTTCCCCCCTCCTTGAATACAGTCTGTAGAATTAACATCTGAAGGATGAGAATCAAACAGATACAAATCGCGGAAACCATGTTCAACCGTATAGCCATATAGCACAGTTATATAGGGGTTATAAAGTAACCTTTAGTCTAGTGTTTGCGGTATTTTGCTGCTTCAGTTTTCCCTTCCAGTCTGGTTTTTATAAGGATTGTTTGTCTTTTAACCTGGTCGAACAATTTGACTCCTTTTTTGTTTCGTTCACTATTTCTTTTTTACACTCAGTCCCTGCAAAACAAACTGCATATATTTGATTATATGTCTCTCCGTGGAACGCAACAAAACCTTCTGCTTATCTCTAGGGCATCAGTTCATCTTTCTAATTGCTTGTTTATTTATCCAAAAGCCTGCGTCATGTGAGTTATGATAAATATTTATAAAGAAGCTGATGCTTGTCTGTCCTGTAAATAAGGAATTTATTACCGCAAACATGTGTCAGTAACTACTACCATTGCCATGCAAGGTGGTAGTGTATTATCTCAAATCTCTCGTTTATTTGATAGTAGCTACACATGAATGTCTCTGTAAAGTGACAGTACTACCTCAGTCCTCTCTTACCTAAATCAGTTATAACATCATGAATTGTCCTGTAAAGTAGACTTTATTCTACCTCGAATCTTCCCTGTTCTCTGTATTTTACTCTTTGTTATCAGCGGCCGGCGATATCGCGTGTTCTGTATTCCACACTGTGAGCGCTTTTAACGGCCCCAAAGCACGTAGAACTGGCCCTAACCCAAACCTCCTATGCCACGGCCTCAGCCTACGCTCACATGAGATACTACAGCCTACGTCCTACGACTGCATGCGGCTGTGACATAACGGTGGAAGAACGAGTCAAATACGACGTGTTGCTGGTCTGTCACTAAGCGTGACACCCCTGCAACATAGGACAAGCCCTGAGACACGACGAGGCATGGATGACAAGGGAAGTCCCTCTCTTTCTAGGCCCGACAATGTTACTATAACCGTCTCAGATCTCCCCCCCCCCTCTCTCTCTCTCTCTCTCTCTCTCTCTCTCTCTCTCTCTCTCTTTCGCTGTCTGTCGCTGTCTCTTCTTTGCCAGTAACGACGTCATATTTATCATTTATGTCCTGTTATTACCTAAAATCTCTCTTTGTGTATCTCTCTCTTCGCTGTGTTATTAACTACATTATAATCATCACTGTGTCCTGTTATAACCTCACATCTACTCCTCTATGCCAGTAATTATCAGAATTACCATTGTCCCGTACAGTAGAAATGTCTTAGAATTGTTGCCAAATCTGCCAGGCCCCTTCACGTGCACTCAACAGTGACATTATCTCCTCAAGTTGGAGATATTGTGCCTCCAGATAAGTATAAACATTTCTTTTTATAGTGCACCGTTAATGGTGCATACATCGGCCAGTAATTGTCAATGTGCAAACAGTCATTTCCGAAGAAAATGTTTGCTAGATAATGTGAATACTATGTAGGCAGTAATTTGAGTAGAAGTTTTATGTTTGTAATGACCTCGGTGAAATTCAACAGTAAACAGGGAAGGCTGGCTTGATCTAACAAGGAAGTCGTTTGACAAGAGAAGGTAATTTATGGTTTTATAACTGCAGCACGTTGCTGTAGTTGTTTT